GATGAGGGGGTCCGCCTGTAGGGGGTCCTGGTGGATGTCCGTCCGACGGTGACGAGGGTGACCCCAGACGAGGCGGCTTAATTGGGATGGGAACTGACTGGTGAGGCTTAATCGTCGACCAATGGGTCGAATCTGCATAAGGAAGGCAACCAGCACACACTCGCAGGTCGGTCGTGGAAACATTTTTTTGTTTTTTCTCTTGGTCTGCCCCGAGTCGAATTTTGAAGGCAGAAAATGTCGGTAGGAGGCGAGCATAACCAGGCCTAACTTAAACCTGTTAAAGGTAAGTCTAATTTTTTTATATTACTTTCTTTAAATTGTAAATTTTTACTGTACTCTCTACCAAATAACTTTTTTATTGCACCATATAGCAGTCAAAATTCTTTTTATATACAGGGTGAGTTTCCTACGAAGTTCTCTATGAGTATCTCGGAAACTACTGGAGATAGAGAGTCGGTTAAAAGGGGAAAGAATTGCAGTTTTGTGGGGTCATAAATATGCGCCTTTCAGATTTTTGAAAAAATTTATGGCTTACTAGATATTTTGAAAAAAACAAATTTCGGCTATTTTAAAAATTGTCCCTGATTCCATTATAAGCTATTTTAGACAAAAAGTTTTCAGATAAAAGTTGTAGATAATCACATCCTTAATGAGGCTATGTCGTCCGTTTTTTTCTAAAGCCTGTCATTTTTGAAATATGACACAAACATAGGTTTTTTTAAATGAAAACCATAGTTGGCCATGGCTTCATAAAAAGCGCCATTTTTTAAGCTTTTCAGCGATATAAGCTATAATATGTTTTTTTCGAAAAATTACTGAGTTATAGCCAATTCTTGTCATTTTTAAACAATTTCACTTAGTTAGCCATGGAAACAAGTTTAATCGTCTTTGCTCTCATAAATGTGAAGCTGTCACATCCAAACTTTGCAAATTAAAATAAATAAAAATTGTAAATATGCATTTTTCAAATGAAGAAAAGCGTGTATGATTATTGGTTCAACTTTTTTGACCATACATTTTCCAGGATACGTTGACCGGTGAATGTTACGTTTTTTAGAGAACGGTTTTCAAGACATGTTAGAAAAGTTAAATTAAATTATAGCTAATAATTCTTATATTTCTTAAATAATTTCACTTGGATTGCATGATATTCTTATTCTATTGTGATTTATAACTTATAAAAAGTCAGAATATATTACTAAACGGTTCTTTACAATTTACATTACACAAACTAAAACTTAAAAAAATAATATCACCACATACACTTTAAGTTATTTTAAAAAATGTTCAAAAAATCCGCCATTGTTTTGAGTTCCATGTTTTTAAAACTGAACTACTACCTATTCTCACAGAAGGACCGGTCGACTTTATTAAACTTTTCTTGTACCGCCACTTCGAGTGCCTCTCTTTATTCATAAGTTCTTTAGTAAACCTTATTGTTAACTATACCGCATAAAAAAATCTAAAAGTCAGGTGATCGAGGAGGCCCATGCAGCTAGTCCACCTCTTCCTATCCCTGCGTTTGTATAATTATGATATAAATAATTTTTAACATTTCTTTCATTATGGGGGGTGGGGGTGGTGTGTCATAATGAAAGTCATGTTGGAACCACTCTATTGATGCGCGGGTATCCACACGCTTTTCTTCATTTTAAAAATTCATATTTACAATTTTTGTTTATTTTAATTTACAAAGTTTGGATGTGACAGCTTGACATTTCTGAGAGCAATGGCGATTGAACTTGTTTCCATGGCTACCTAAGTGAAATTGTTTAAAATGATAAGAATTGGCTATAACTCTGTAATTTTTCGAAGAAAATATATTATAGCTTATATCGCTGAAAAGCTTAAAAAATGACGCTTTTTATGAAGTCATGGCCAACTATGGTTTCCATTTAAAAAAAACTATGTTTGTGTCATATGTCAAAAATGACACGCTTTAGAAAAAAACGGAGGACACAGTCTCATTAAGGATGTGATTATCTACAACTTTTATCTGAAAACTTTTTGTCTAAAATAGCTTATAAGGGAATTAAGGACAATTTTTAAAATAGCCGAAATTTATTTTTTTCGAAATATCTAGAAAGCCATAAACTTTTTCAAAAATCTGAAAGGCGCATATTTATGACCCCACAAAACTGCAATTCTTTCCCCATTTAACCGACTCTCTATCTCCAGTAGTTTCCGAGATACCCATAGAGAACATCGTAGGAAACTCACCCTGTATAAGTGTTGTATATTTTAGTTTTTTTTGTTACAACATACATGAGCTTCAATTTAAAGTAGAATAACTTGTATAGTAATTAGAGCAACTTTTTAAAACTTATAGTAGATATAATAATAATTCTAATTAAACGTAGTTACTTATATAACTATTTTTTTTCATTGTTTTAGGACAACCCGGGTTCGCAGCGCGATCTTAAAAAACAAGATTGAAGAAGTCAGAAATTCTATCTACATGCTGCATATGATTAGTCCCAAAAAAATTCGGATTGTTCCAGGCACCGTCGAATACCTGGAAAACGTGTTTATTGTCAACTCTAGAGGATCGACCGAAGTCCATGGAGTTGGGGGCATTCGATGTGCCCTATAGCAGTGAGACGCCACTGTTTTTTTCGCCGTGTAATTATTATGATGGGACTGAAAATGAACTTAAGCAAGATGTGATGGTGAGTTTTCATATTTTTACATTGTTTTTCTTTGTTGTCTATAGCTTGTTTTTTGTTTTTTCTAGCATATGTATTTGTTAGAAATATTCTAATATATTTTTTTTTCTCTTACAGGTGATACAGTATGGCTTGGAGAACTTCAAAAGTCGGTTCGCGTCGTGGTTCCAAAGCAGTAACTTTAGGTTCCCTACATTTACAGAATGTTGCATTAAGTACTCATTTTTTAATTTGCAATTTTTATATTTTATTTTTACTTTTTTTCTTACTCTATACAAGGCTTTAATATAAAGTTTTTTTAACAATAATAAATGTGTAATAAAAAAATAACTCCAAAGAGACAAAATTAGGTAGCATATTGTTTTTCTATTATATTTGGAAATAACTATTTTTCGTCTTATTTTAAAATTGATAATATTATTTAATTTTTTTAATAGTGATTTTTAATTAAACGTAAATTAGTAAATAATGTAATTTTACATTATAATGAGAATTAAAATAATAGTAATTTATTTTTGTTACTAAAATTAAATTCAGTTTGTCCCTGCATAAATCTTTTTAGTATTAAACTGCTTTGGAATGAATTTTTTTGGGGGACAACAGCAGGATTAGGGCTATCTTCTAGATGCCATCAGGTAAATTTATATAACTTTATATTTATCATTTTCTTTGACTAAAAAAAGTGTTTTCCTTTTTTTAGGTAGGTGCGCTAGCGTAGTCGTTTGTTGTAGCATTATATCCCTTTTCCCCTTTTTAAAAAATGTTTGTAAGACGCCTGAAATTTGTATAAGTTAGTTATATAAGTAGTTGAATAAGAATTGGTGAGACTTGGAAAATAGAAGAGGACAGAGAAGATGGAAGAGGATTGCTTTGAAATAGAAGGAAAGGAGATAGAAGATGTTTGAGGAAAGGAGGAGGATTTTGTTCACTCTAACGGAAGTTTTTTGAATGAAATTTGGAGCAACTGTATTAAGGTAATTTTTTTCATCTAGTTACAAAAAATAAATACTTATCACAACTTTTATTTTTTTATAGATGATATTGGTATCTTGGACATCAAGTTTCTATTTATGTATTTTTAAGTTTTTATTTATGTATTACACAAGCATATCTATTGGTGGAAATGTAGAATGGCAGCTGTTATAACAACTTGGATGAATTATTAGAAACACCAAAGAAGTTTTGACATAATTTAAACTGGGAAAGGCTCACAAATGACCAATTTATTCTACAGTAGATACAGGACATTAAATTGACTTCAACAACGCAGATATCTCAAAAATGGTAAGTTTTTTTCACATTATTTTCTTTCCTATTAAAGTTTTTGGAAAGCTTGGAAGTTATGACATATTTTACACATATAATGTGTATATTTCAATAACTTTAGGTGCAATATTTAATTTTAAATTTATTAGGAGAATTTTTTTATTCAAATCAACTTAATTTTGTATTTTGCGTATCTATATTGATATTACAATGTTTTCTTATCTACATATATAAAATGCTAATGTTTATCTGTGTCGTCTCTACTGAAGTAACGACTTGCTCTAGAAAGTTGCTTTTTTACTAAAAGATAGCTAATTGGCTCTTCTAAAAACTGTCGTCGCCGGATTTTTTGTTTTTCATTTAATTAAAAAAAAAGTATTTTTTTTCTGATGTCGTGGCGGATGCGCCAGGCTTCAACTTGTTTATTTTAATTTTCTACATTGATGCAAATTAATATACTTATTAATATTTGTTTATTTTTTTATTTTTAGATATCTGTTCGAGTGATGTACTGGGCGTTAATAGTTGCTGTTACAAATCTGCAAACGAGTTACTACTGTACATAAGTTGGAGGAATGCCAAGGAATTTTTTGAATAAAGTGATACTGAAAATCTTACCCACAAATGACAATTTTAAGATACAATCAATAGTATTTGGATTGATTGGCCTTCATTACCGTTGCGCTATGAAAATGGCAAGTTATTTTTATTTTTTATTATTTTTAAGGCTACAATTTATGTGTTTAACTACAAAATTGTATTCTTTAAATTCAAAATAAATTAAGTTTCAGATTGAAAATATATTAATATATTTGTTTCAATCTCTGTAGTTATTTACAAATTAGATCAGACAATTTTAACTAGTATAATATAATAGTTAAAATATGTTTTCTTTTTTGTAAAATCTATGAATATTTGGTAATATTTTAAAAAGTTATTATTATGTTGTATTTTTTAATATTTACATAAAATATTAAAAAAAAACATATTTTTCAATATATAAAGATGTGAGGAGAAATTGATGTTATAAAAATGTATTTATTTATTTTTTCTATTTCTAGTGGGCTGTACAAATTGATGTTAGTGGACAGTTTTGATAGCTGCTGTTTCCAGTTCAAGTTCCAGTTTTAATGGAAAACCTTTAATGGACAGAGAAAAATGCCATTTACTGGATTGACTTCAACACCTGTTGCCTTTTAACAATGGTAAGTTATGTCTATCAACTTATTATAAAATTTCATTAGAAAGCTTGAAAATTCTGAAAATTTATTAAATTTTCCATCATATTCAAGCTTTTTTGTTCAAATATTAACAGATCCTAGTTTTGTATTGTTTTGTGATAAAAAAAGACTGTTAAAGGATAAAATCAAACACAGACTGTATTACTGGTTGCATACAAGTGATTATACATAAAATATGTAATATAAAATTATTGCATTGTTTTTAAATCGAGTTTAAAAATAATTTTTTAAAGTTTCTAGCAAGATAAACGCATTTTTTTATAATAATAAAAAATTTATAATAAAAAACCGTATTAAAACTGGACTAGAAAACTAATATAATTGTTTTTTTAATTAATATTAGAGCTCAAAAAAATAAAAAGTTATGGCCAGTTAAAGTGGAAAAAGATACAATGCTATCGTGTTTTACTGGTTGCATATCTTTAAATTTATTTGAAAATTATTAAAGATCACCAAAATAACGCAATAAATTTACGAATTATTACTGAATATTATTTTTTTCTTTTTCTATATATCTAGTAAATTAGATATTTATTTTTTGGATTATTATTAAGTCATTATAATAATGTTTTATTTTCTTATCCAGGAATTTTACAATTTTTTATATCATTTCTGAAGTTATCAATAAAATTTTTTTTTTTAATTTATATAACTTTTTATAACTTATTCAAATTAATATAAAAAATGTCTATTATTTGTTTGTTATGTTACATAGTTCTAAATATTAACATAATTTATGTTAAAACTAAACGTTCTCCCACTATAATTTATGTTATTGTCTGTTTTCTGATAGCTTCAAAAATTGCTATAATAAAAAATTTAAATAATTTTTAATAATAATAATATTTTTTTTTTATTTAGGCATAGGATAGGTATGGTGGTCATAAAAGAGATTTAAATGGAATGAAACTTGTGCAGAAGAAATCAAGGAAAACAATTTTGAACTGCTGTTACTTAATAGCTGTTAGAGGCGATCCAGTTCTTCATCAATGGTAAGTTATTTATCTATCTTATAAAATTTCATTGGACAGCGTGAATTTTTTTTAAATATATACAAGCGCTTTTGTTCCAATATTAGAAAAGCCAACAACTATTAAAAATAGGCAGGATAAAATAAAATGCTGATACTGTATTACTGGTTGCATATTGTTACGGATTCTGTTTATCCACTAATTTAAACTCACGATAAAATATTTAACGGATTTATTTTCGCACTATGTACACACAATTTATATTGATTACAACACACAATTAACTATTTAAAAAAAAATCCTTCGCCAAATTGTCAACATTCGCTATTTAAAACTGTTTGATTTAAAATTACAGAACTCATCACACACACCTTGATGATATATTAATGTTCCCACTAGAATAAACGCAATAAATACTATATACATATTTTAATAAATATAATTTTAATTAATCTTTTTTGTTTTGTTTTTATTAATCTTGTTTTCAGAAATCTTCCAAAATTAGTATAGTAAAAATTTACTTAATATTTTTTTGGAATTTTAGGTATACGCTGGGACAATTGCTGTTGAAAAACCACAAGCCGTACTATCTGCAAATATTATGGTGGACATCAAAAAGCTTCCTTCATCACTGGTAAGTTATTTATCTCTTTTTCTTACTAAATTTCATTGACAAGCTTGAAAATTATGATAAGTTTTCATAATATTCAAGCTGCACGCTGCACAGGTCTCTGAGGTCAACGTCTATTTCTATATGTCATTTATTAAAAATTGATATAAAAACTTGTCAAAAATAATATTTAAATTAAAAAGAAGGAGAAAAAAGTTTCAAAAATACCAATTATTATTCAAAGGTGAAAACCTTAATTTAAAAAAATGGGAGCTGTGAATTTTTTTAACATATCATTCTTTAATTTTTATAAATTTTTATACCAATTTTATATATAAGATATATTGTGGTCCACCTGACAGAAATAATTGTCATCAATTGTTATTACAAAAGCCACTATAATGCTGTTTTTTTTTCTCATAGGGTATATACAAATTATTAATTAAAAAACATAGTTATTGCATTAATAGAAATATATTTATTTTAATTTTTACATAGATCGTTTTATTCTTTTTTTAATATTATTTTTATTTTATTTTTTAGATATCTCTGCATTTTCTTAACAATGGATATCCCCCCAATAGTTGCTCCTACTCCTCACTTTCCTCTTTCATTCAACATAAAGCAGACTCATTACTCCTCAATGTCTCACCAAGGTTCGTTAACTTCATTAATAGTGTTATTGTTTCAATAAATTTGTTTATTGGTTTTTATCCTCTTACTATATAATTATATCAGGCGTCATTTTTTTTAATGTTAATTTTTTGTAAAATTTTGATAATCTGGATAGACACCTTTTTTTTCTTAAGCTTTTGCAATATAAAACACTAGTTAAGAGCAATACACTTTATTTTATGAAAGGACCATTATCTCTGTTGATATTGTCTTTATCTTATATTTACTTCCATTAGTTCAATAATTAAATTGTTATTAAATAAAACTATATTGTATTCTGGATTTCGTCAAAGGTATTTTTTAAAAGAATTAAAAAACAATCTTTATAGGCTTGTATCATTTCCAATTTATGTTTATCTTGTATTATTTATATTTTCCTAAGCTTCTCTAAGTTTATTCCAGATTATCAAAATTATAATTTTTATACTTGCGCAGCTGCGTCACTATAGCCCTATGAACACAAGTATTATTTTGGTTTTAAAGTTTATGTTTTTTAATATTTCATTTATTGTATTAACGGAAAACTAAATTTTATAGAATTTAACTAACTATATCTTCAACCAGATGATAATTTAATAGTTAATGGTCAATTTAATATTTTTTCATAGAAATTAAATTTGATTATTGAATACCAATGTCAAGCCAGTAGAAATGATTTATTAGTGTTTATTTTTTTTGAAATCATTTTTTTACTAAATCAATTTTGGATACTTGTGTTCATATAGTTTTTTTTGCTTTTGAGAATTGTCCCTAACACAGATCTTTTTAATCAATTTATATGATTTTAAAACATTTATGTTTATATCTATTTTGTACTTAAATTTTAGTGATAAAATTTGTTTCTTTAACACAGAGAGACTTAACTCTTTAACACAGAGCACTTCATGCATTGTTTTCTTTTTTATGTGCAGAATTTTCTTTATATACAGTATGTCCTCAGAACGTCTTTACAAGAGCAAAAGCTTTTTTTATTAACATTTTCATAAAAAATACATTCCTTATAAAAATATTTTTCTTTTTAATATTTTCATTTCAATTTTTTTAACAAATATATTGTGAGCACACATTTTAAAATTATTTTTCGTAGATATTAGCGATGGGAACTATCGAATGAATTAGACTATCGAATGGTTAATGAATGAATGATTTCAACTATCGAATGGTTTTATTCGAATAAAATCATTCATTCATTTGTAAACTAAAGCATATGTGACAACCTCGCCGTGCGACTAAATGGTTATCGTTGAGCCACGACTATCGAATGCTTTTGATAAATGAAATTTAGTATTCGTTTGGATTTTGTATGCGTCAGTGCATTATTGGTTCTTCCAAATTTTTATAACTTCGCCGTATAAATACTGTGCTATTTTTTTTGCGTTTATTAAAATAGTTAAAATACTAAAATAGTAGTTATTTTTTAATTTTATTTATTGACGATTGTGTGCATGTGCAGGTGGTCAAAATTTTCCGATAATTTGTGTGGTTTTCCGTAGTCCGATCTTTCAATTATTTCATTTTATATGGTATATGGTCTATTTTTTAATGGGAAATTTTGAGAAGTAGCAATTTTTAAGAGAGATGAGATGAACTTCTATTAATTAATTTTAAAAAATACATATTTGTATTTTAGATGTTTTAATAATACCTATGAATTAGTTGGAACTTAATAATTATATTTAAGTAATGTGGTTAAATAAATGGTTATCGAACTCAAACTATGGGTGAGAAAATTAAAATGAAAATTTTACACGTGCCAATTTAAAAAAAAGTTAACGATGTTTGTATTTTGTTTATGCTAATTCTCTTACATGTAGTTTTTTACGAAGAAATATTTCATTTATTTTTTAAAGTAAATGCCAGTAAAAGTAAATATAATTTTTAAATAGTAATATAAAGCACCTAATATAAATAATTTTGATTTCTAATTTTTTTTTATATTTTGCTTCCATTACACCGCTTACTTAGAAAATTAATAAATGTTTATATTTCATGATTTTAAAATTTGTTGTTAATATAACAAATTAGTTCTGTAATTATTATTATTTAATAAACCAACGTTGCCAAAAAAATTAGAGACTATATTATTTTTAAATAGGATCTAATATAAATAATTTTGACATCTAATTTGTTGTTTATATTTTGCTACTACTTAAAAAAATATTTATATTAAATGATTTTAAATTTTGTTGTTAATAGGTATAACAAATTATTACTGTTATTATTATTTATTAAACCAGTCTTTGCTTAAAAACATTAAAAATAATTTTCCTACATCCAAAATAACAAGTATTATTGCAGTGTAACAACAGAATATTAATAAAAAATGCAGAATATATAGACATACTATCCCTAACTAACTAAAGCCAAACAATAATATTCTTTGCTAATATCAACTAATACAAAAATATGGCAACAGCGCCCTTCATAATGTATTTTCTGTGTAAATACTAGCACCTCAATAAAAAAATAATGTGTCCTTATCTATATATGACTCCGCAAAAAATCAAAGATGCCGGCTTCTTTCATAGCATTGCCACCGACCGCTTTCTCGGAAACCTTACGTCGCCGGGCGACAACTAAAATTCAGTTAATATTTTATTATAATCGATCCTGACGAATAAATGAATTTCATAAATGAATGAATTTTATAAATGAATGAATTTTATAAATGAATGAATTTTATAAATGAATGAATTTTATAAATGAATGGTTTTTGCTGCCGAATTACTAGAATACAATATTTCAAGGCAGATGACGGATCTATTCGATAATTTTTATTCGAATAGTTTTCAACGAATGTTTTCTTACTAACTATCGAATTATTCGAATGAATTGCAACTATCGAATGTTTCGATAGTATTCATTCGATAGTTCCCACTACTAGTAGATATACTGTGCGATTCAAGTATATTTATACTAAAATTGTATTTTTTTAAAATGTTTTTTAATGTATGTACTAGAATCAAGGGTACTAGTTAATATACCACTGTAATCCACTCAAAATGGCATAAATTAATTATTTTAGAAGAGTTCAATTGAAAATAAATACATGAATTTTAACCTCTAGTATTACTGGTTGCCTAATCGATTCTTATGTAATGTTGTGGTAATGTTCTTATTATTTAAAAAAATCTTATTTCCAGTAGTAATTTTTTCTCTCAATTTTAGTATTTAAAATGTCTCTATCTTGTCATATTTATTTAACATATCTATTAGACCTCTACGACCCATCGTCTTTGAAAAATACAAACTGCTGTTTGCTATGTGTTAATAAAATCGTTACACTTGCGTTTAAGATAATTACATCTTATCTTTTTAATTGCTATATAATTTTTTTTATAAAATATGAAACAAACTTTATCTCCTAAAATTTATGAATTTTACACAGATTTTACATATGAAAATGGTCTGCTAGGGTATATAATATATTTATTGTAGGATCAGTTGAAATATCATAAGTCATAATATAAAAATTAACATTTATATATACATATTTGTTAAATATATAATTTTAAGATATAACACATTTTTACACAAAAATAATAATTCTAGTTTTATATGTGGCATATCTTTTTTCATTTGGTCCTTCAACATTTAAAATCTTTTGACATAGATTTCATTCCACTTAAATGTCACAAAAAGATATATTTTAATAAATATTGTTTTTAATATCTTGTTAATAATATTGATCTATAGCTTACCTTTGCTATCTGTAATAGGAAATATTTCTAAGCCATCGCCGACGTCATTTTTTTCGATAATATTGTACTATTTCTGTACAAATATTATTAAATCTAGTTTTTTCTATATTTATATTATTGTGATCTATTGCTGTATTTTTGTTATAAAAATGTTTTGTATACATCATACATCTATATTTTGTAAGCGTTTTAGAGATTCTGAGCACTACGTTTACAGTCATTTCTTTTTTCATGTTAAATATTTTTTTGTCATGTCTAATAATTAATCAGCTAATTAAGAATCTTTTTTTTAGTAGGTAAAAAAGAATAATTTATATTACCACAGAGTGGCCCAATGTTCCAAAAATAATCATGTTAGGTCTTCAGTTTGAGATTTTCACTGAATTTTTTATATAAAACATACGGGTTACAGTAGACCATATTTTAAAGCCAGTTCATAGATATACACAGGGTGTTTTTAATATATTTTTGCTTTATATTGGTAGTATTTAAATGAAATGTTATTCAAATTTTAATTCTATTGTTATTTTAGATTTTTTCTGTGCATTTTTAAAGCTTTCACAAATTTATAAAGTCGTATTTTTTTAATTGAAAATATTTTATATAACAGAAGATCAAAACAAATTATACTAAAATACTTTATATGTTGGTAACTAAATATAATATAATGTCTTACTCTGCTATTTAAATAAAACACCCTTAATTTTATAATAATATACTTTATAAATAACAAAATTGCGGCATTGCGAATATTTAGAAATTAAATATATCCAGATATTTGAAAGTAGAATATATTAAAAAATACTCTTAAGTAATTACTACTTCAAATTACTCGACACAAATAAATTTCATTAAATAACATTTTTATGAGCTGACACTGTTGTTTTGTATGCATCTGGCGAGCTTTTTCTAAAATAATTTATTTAATTAGCACTCATCAATTATCTGAACTAATTTTAAGGCTGTAAACTGTAATTTTGGAATGTCTAAATATTTAGTCAGTCATGGGATTAAGATTTGTAATTGTGTAATGATTAATCCACCACTGTACTCCAATACAAAATTGCGTAAATTATATAAAGCTCATTTTACGTAAAAAATCATCTCAAAATAGTTATCTCAATTTCTTTAAATTTTAGTATAACTGGTTGCCTAATCGATTCTTACTCATTCACAGAAAAGTTAAAATGTGTAGAATAATTAATATATTTATTTATTGCTTTCTAAGGAAGTATTGCTTTCAAATTTCAATTAAAAAAATCGTTTAAATGGCTACAGGGTGGCTCAGTGTTAAATAAACTGGGTGTCCTATTTGAGATTTTCACTTCAATCTTTTTATTACAAAATATGCCATTAATATTAGGGCACATATTAAAGCCATTTAAAATTTCAGTTAACTAGAAGTTTACCTTGTTATTTAATATGTTTTTTATTTATTTATCAACTATTCACTTCAATTTTTTTTGTATAATTTTAATTCATGCAATGAGCGATTAATTAATTTATGCAATTTTTAATTTTATATTACTTTAAACGGAAAATAAACAACAAACCTTGTAAAAACTTCCATTGTTAAAATGTTTATTTAAATTGTAATCAAGGAAAAACTAACGGCTATGCTCTAAATTATAACGCAATGTTTGGTATGCTCATGTGAATGGTATTTGTCACTTCCTTATGAGTGGAGGTATTTTCCGTCATTTTATCATTTCCACTTTGTGTGCTTTATTGAAAGTATAGGCGCTTGCTAGGAAAAGTTTATCAATCAATGATGTTGTACAGACTGTCCAATTGAACTTTCTCGCTCATTAGTAAGGATAGGACATTGAGATTTTTATAAACTTGATTTTTATGAAAAATAAAATTTCCACGGTCCCCTTTTAATAATGTTGCCTAATCGATTCTTACTCATTCAAACACTTAAAAGTTAAAATTTGTAGAATAATTAATATATTTGTGTATTGCTTTCTAAGTAAGTATTGTTTTCAAATTTCAATTAAAAAATATACAAGGTGATTTTGAAAATGTTACAGTTTCAGATACATCTCCTATTTCAGTAGTATGACAACTTATCAATAAATTTTAAATCCTATCGCTATGGAACTTCTTTTTTAATTTCTTTAAATAATTTAAATATATTTTTTTTAAATATCGACCTATGTTTAGTTTCTATTAATGGGGCAGCCCGTATATTTGTCAGGAAATTAATGTATCTTCTCACAAGCCACCATAAGTCACAGTTTTTAATTAGAGCTAAAACAGTTTAATACAAATTTTGTTATATCTATCCTATGTCATTGTTCTTAGTATTTGTATTTTTAGTTCTTTATTGTTTAAACTTTTCATTTAAAAATTAAATAGATCAAAATTGGTTTCGCCAATTAAAAGATAATAGCAGCATTGTTTTGGCATGATCCTATGTAAATTTTTATTTGTATTATTTTAAAATTATTAATTCTGCAGCTTTTAACTAAAATATACTGTTACATATATATTTTGAAAGCTTGTGAAGGACGAAAATTATTTTTTTGAGAAGTATACAGGGTGTAATGAAAATATTAAGAAAAAACTTATTCTTATGCCACCTGGTTCCACCTAATATATTCTAAGTATATGAATCTGTTTTTATTTTTTTTCAGACTACTGATATAATATGGGGTGTGTGTAAAACTGCAACATATTGTATCATGGAAACTAAGAGGACCATGACAATTTTGTGTACCGTATCTTTGCTTTGAAGAAAAAAATAATGGGTTCATTTAAGTAACAATGAGTTCGACATTTAATATTCTTTACTAATAAACGAGAAAGCTCTTAATTGCAACTAAATGTGGAAATGACGAAACCGTTTAACATGGGTATCTCATGTTTTAAGTGTTTCTCCCTTATGAACGGAGATAGGAAGTAAATTTTAATAAAAAATACCCTACGGTCGAAAAAAAACGGCGTCATGAACGGCTGGGGAATGACGATGACAATTTTTGCGAACTCAAGCCCTAGACTTCATTTTCTTGGCCCGTCCTCTTCTTTATTGTTTAATGGCGCTTACTGCCAGTTGCCCTTAAGAAGGTTGTAATTTATTTTTATATTGAGTAAAAACGATTTTTAAATGGCGTAGTTTAAAATTACGGGAAAAAATATTTTTTGGAAATAGATTTGTGTGTCTAGAACCGTTCTAACCTTTTTTATAAACTTCTTTCTATAATTGGTGTTAATATTGAAGTTTTATGTAAAATTTTACTAAATGACGTCTAGAGATTGACCTCGCCAAGATTATCATCGATTGTCATTCCCCAGACGCCTTTGACGTAGTTTTTTTACTTTTTTTAAATCACATGTTATAACCTTCTTAGTTTTTGAGCTACAGGGTGATTTTGATAAATGCTTTTAACCGTCCCTTGTATTCAGATATAAAAACTTATTGTAAATGTAAAAACATAATTCAGTGTAACGTTCTTTTTAAACGCAAATGTTTTTATCTTAAAAAAATATTTTTAAATTCTGATTATCTCTAATGGACAAACTAAGTACTTTTTTATAGAGATAAATTGTGTGCAATTACCTTATTTTGATTGACAACCTGTACATAAAATATATAAAATACACCTTCCGTTTATAACTGAAGAACATAATTTCATCTGAAAGAATTTTTTATAAAAATTCGTTTTTGCTTATAACTTTTTAAATATTTATAAAAATGATTCTGTAGCTTAGAAACTAGGAGGGCTGGGATAATACATTTATCACAGTCCTCTTCCTCATATCTGTAATTTCATCAATAAGAAGCCAACTATTGCGCAAATCTCAACTTTTTCTCTATCTCCGTTCATAAGCTAGAAACTCCCTAAAGCACGAACGAATGAAAATGACACACCCTGTACAGGTTAGCAATTTACTTTGTCCAATTTTTTATAATAGCAGTGGTATAAACACTGGACTAAAATAATATTTTCTTTTTTTAGGCCAAAAAATAAAGTTAAACCTTTTTAAAAGCGAAATGAAATAAAAGCTAACACTATACAGAGTGTCCCATTTTGGTAGCAAATGTGGTTCTCTATCTTTATTAATAAAGATAGAGAACCTTGGGGTTGTCACCGATCCTTACTACTTCTTTGTAAAATTTAATGTGCCAAACAAAATTCTCGCGGCCTGCTTTGTTTTCCTGCTACAGGATGTTACTAAAAATGCAGTTTTTTTCTACCCTGACAAGAAGTTGAATTATTTCTTCTGGTAAGCACATACTTTAGTGGAAATCAAAACGGGGAGAAGAAACACACGAGATTAATTGGTATGAGCTGTAGTAAGGAGCTTGTGTGTTTGTTTTCGCTGTTCTGCTCTCCGCTCCTGTATATGCTTAGCTTTATACTTTATGTGGAATCCAGTGTCTTAGTTTTTTCCTTAATATTTCTGTTTGTGAAATATCGACCATTGTTTAGTTTTTTTTAAATAGGGCGCTTCATGTGTATTTATCTAGAAATTAATTTGTCTTTTTACAAGCTTCCAAAAATTCATTTTATATTAGCCTCCTAAATATTTGCAGAAGGCCATGCACACAATGCTGCCCCTTGACTGTGATTATATGATTATATGTTTTTTTTTGTTTTCTTTACTGTTTATTTTTGATTGGTGTTGATTAATCCATTCAAATGATCTATTTAGTTCTTATCAAATATACAGGGTGTCTTATTTAAAAATTAACTAAATATGGTCTTGATCTTTGAATAAGAAGACTAAGGAAGGAGCATAATGCTATCTATGTATTCATGCATGGTGGGCGGAAAAAGCACTCTAGGGTGGGGATCCTTGACAGTTCTGTTTGACGATTCATTTGACACATTTGAATTTGATTTGAAATTTTGTGGATTTGTCACTCTTTACGGAGCTTATTTTATGTTATTTATTATTTATTCTACTACTGATAGTTGTATAAAGGTAGTAAATCTAGATGGAAATTGTGGCAGAACTTAAATTAACAGTGACACTATCGCGATTTATCGAAAAAGACTTTAAAATAGTTGGTTATGTAGCGTGCGGTAGATCTCGGCAAAAATTGAGTGAAATAATGGAACAACTTTTCGTTAGTAAGTGACTATATAATATACATACGTGTAGTAAACCGATCATTTATGAAATTCACTTAAATTAACTAAATTATATATTTTTTTTGCATTTTAGCTTTTATTTACTACTTGTCAAAGATCAGATGTCAAAGAATTTTGATACGTTAATTTGACTTACCTGCTTCAGTAGCGTATCGGATGTTTGTGTTAATAGATACTTATTATAACTTATCTATTTTTATTAGAATTATATATTTTTATAACAATTTTAATAACTACCAACATTTATTCACAACGTAAAATAAAATAACAAATTATTGAGTGTACCCCACGTCTACCCTACATCATAGTTTTACATTTTTTAAATAAAATTAGAACGGCACTGATAAACCGGAATTTAAGTCGGCCATATTTGAGGCCCATCGCGGTGTACCTAAGATTTTTGATATGCTCCTTCCTTAGTCTTCTTATTCAAAGGTCTTGATAGATAAAATTAGATGGATAAAAAATAAGCCCGCGGATTCTACGTAAAAGGTTCTATTTTAACGATTCGTATACATGTTATGCTAACGATATACGAGGGGTGTCTGAAATGCAGTCTTGTTCTTATCGTCCTGTAGCATGGAAATTAAGAAGGCTATGTCGATTTCGCTTAAAAGTATCTCGAAATTTACACAAACCGCAAGATTCTATCTTTATTAATCAAAAAATGTAGTTTGGAGCGTAGCGTTTAGAGTTAAAGGCGTTAGAGTTTTGGGTTCATGGCATTTGATTTTTGGGTTGATGACAGTTGATTTTTATGTAAAACATCATCGATTGCCATTTTCAAGCCAATGCTGACGCCTTTTATTTTTGCGACAAATTTTATTTGTTGTTTATTTTCCTGTAACAGCACGTTTTTCGAAATCGCTGTAAGAAACTTACAGCAAATTCTTACTTCTTAGAACTTGCTGTAAGATACAGCGCGTTCAAAAGGCCGGTTTACTCGTTGCTGCTGAAACGCATAGTTACACCGCACTAAGGCGGGTTGACGCGGTCCAAGTGCACTTGGACCAAGTGCTGCCATATAAGTGTAGTTTATGGATGCTGCGCGCATCTCACTTGTACGCTGTTTGTATCGTATCAACTGTTTTATCCAAGTCGAGTTGGAAAGCTTCATATCATCCTACAAAGCTTTCCAATTCGACTTTGATAAAATAGAATCAGCTTACAAGTGAGGCGCGCACAGCATCCACATAAATATACTTTTATGGCAGCATCCAAGTGTAACTTAGTCCAAGTCAACGAGGCTTTAGAACTTGCTGCAAAAAACTTACAGCGTGTTCTTAGAACAAACATGCTGTCAAAAATATTTGATTCTTTAATGTAAATTTTAAAATAACTCTCTCTTTAATGTAAATTTTATGTACCAAATATACGCCAAATAATGAATTTAATATTCGTTTTTTTTAATACTAAATTAATCTCAATAGTCTACGTAACCCCCCTTCTAGTTCCAGGCATTAACACCAGAGAGCACCACAAGCATTTTTTTAGTTCCGGGCATTAACGACAGAGGGCGCTACCAACAATTTTTTTAGTTCTGGGCATTAACACTAGAGGGCGCTACCAACATTTTTTTTAGTTCCGGGCATTAACACTAGAGGGCGTTATCAGCATTTTTTTTTGGTTCCGGGCATTAACACCAGAGGGCGCTGCTGTCATTTTTAGTTCCAGGCATTAACACCAGAGGGCGCCGCTTTCATTTTTAGTTCCAGGTATTAACACCAGAGGGCGCTACCAGCCTTTTTTTAGTTCCGGGCATTAACACCAGAGGGCGCTACTAGCATTTTTAGTTCCAGGCATTAACACCAGAGGGCGCTACCAGCATTTTTTTTTAGTTCCGGGCATTAACACCAGAGGGCGCTACCAGCATTTTTTTAGTTCCGGGCATTAACACCAGAGGGCGCTATCAGCATTTTTTAGTTACGGGCATTACTACCAGGGGGCACACATGCACAAGTTTAAAAGAATAACAATGTAGGTTATCAAAGGAGAGTTCAGGGAGTAAGATACAGTACAGACAAGAGATAGAACGAGAAGGAGAGGCAGGGAAACCACAGTGGATATGTGGTAGATCGGGATGGATTAGAGCACGGGGGGGCGCCAAAAGAGGGGGAGCGCTCCAGGAAAGCCCGTGGGAAACGGACAGAGGCGACGCGCGCAGCAAAAGACCACGGGGAATGCGCGCCAGAAGGGCCAGATGAAATAGACTGGAATGGAGGTGGCGCGCAGGAGACGGGAGAGGGAGCCAACGGGGGACGTACGGGCCAATGGACACGGGGTACCTGGGCCAACATAGCCGGGAGGGCAGACGCGCCGAAACGACGAAGGGCGAAGGAGGGCGATGACGAGGTAGCGCAGGGGTCGGAGGTAGCGAGGAGACCCGCAAGGGCAACAAAAGGGGAACGGGACTAGTGGCCGCAGGAGGAGCCAGGTTAAGGGCCAAGGGAGGGGGGACGGAGGAAGAGAACCGAACAGGGGCGACCAAACGGGAGGGACAGGGGAAGGGAAATCCAACAGAGCCGCGCAGTGGCCAGTGCGAAGGAGAGAAGAAGAAGGGGCAGAACGGAGCCGCAGAGGGCAAAAAGGGAAAACGCAGGAGAAAACGAGGACGGAGAAACCAAAGAAGGAGGGAGCGGGGGCGGGGAAGAAGTGGAGAGACCAAAGAGGGACCAAGGGACGGTGGGAAAGGGGACACCCGGAGAGAGGAGGCAAGCGGAAGCCGCGCCAAAGAGGGGGGGGGAAGAAAAATAGAAGTGAGGGGAAGGACACAGAGGGCAGCGAGGGAAGAAGCGGGGGAAAAACGACGACAGGAATGGCGGAAAGAGACAGGCGGAACCAAGGAAAAAGAGACAGTGGGCAAACAGGGCAAAAAGAGAAACGAAATGAAGGGGCCACGGGAGGGCGGCGAAAAAAAGGCAGGTAAGAAGGGAGACGAGGGCCGGGCGGACAGGGCCACAGGGCAAAAGGGCCCCGGGAGCAAGTAAGGTACGAAGGGGGCGAGCAAAGGGAACGCAGGGCGGAAAAAGCGAAATGGGGGGACGAATAGAAGCCAAAAAAGGCCCACGAACGAAGTGGGACCACGCCAGAGACAGGGCGGCCAGCCAAACAACAGGACGCCGAGCAGCGAGAGATGGGGAGGAAAGAACGGCAAGGAGGGAGGCAGACGGTAGGAAGGGCAGATCCGAAACGTGGGGGAGAGGGGCCAACCGAGAGGGACATGGCAAGGACAGAAGAGGGCAGGCAGGGGAAGGCACCAAGCACAAGGAAAGGACGGGCGGGCAGGGGGGAGGGCGGCGGGCAAAAGGCCCCGAACCACCGGGGAAAGATAGCGGACGGAAGACAAAGAGAAGATTCGGCGCCAGCGAGGTCCGAGGAAGGCGCAGGAAACAAAAAGCCGCGTCGGGGTGGGAACGGGCGCAGAAAACGTGACACGGAAGACAAGGGCTGAAGCCGCGAGCGGAATCCGCGCGTCCCACCGTAGCGACGCGCGGTTCGAGAACAGAAGGGCACGAAAAGAAGGCACGGGAGACAGCGGGAGCGAATAAAAAGGGCGAGGGGAAAGTGAGTCCGGGGCGGAGCAACGGGAGGGAGGGAGAGGGCCAGGATAAAGAAAACAAACAAGAAAAAGAAAATATCTAAAAAAATAAAAAAAAAAAAAAAGAACGAAAAACTAGAACAAAAGGGACGCCCGGGAAGGCAAAACACGAGACTGCAGGGGGACAGTGGGGGGACACGAACGGAGCAGGAAGAGCCACCACCTGATCG